ATTCGTGGTACTCTCTCTGAGGAGTTTTATCTGAGAGCTCAGGTTGGCCTAGGGAAAATGGGACACAGGAAAACAGAAAATACTAAGATCATAATGGACATACATACTTCTGCCAAAATAAGTGGAGAAAGTTGTTTTGCCTGACTTTCATTTTTAAATCATTCAGGCTAACTGTAAAACTAAGAAAATTATTTAAAATAGAAATTTATTATTTCTGTAATACGTAATATATAAAATAACTGTGATTTATGCATAACATCACATTTCTAACAAAAAATTTCTTCCAAGCATATCTTTATATATGACAATTAAAGAGAAATTTTTGTCTTATGTGACTATGTTGCTTTTCTATCTCTATATAGCCATAACAAGTAATCCAACATTATTTTAACATTTTTTACCCTTTGGTAAGAAGAATGGGCAGTTCAGCTCCTTCTAATATAGTCATTTCCCCATAAATATAAAGAAGCCCTTCAAGTATTGATATAAAAAAAATCTCTGACACACACCGTTAGGTGGAAAAAAAAAGCAAGATTCAGTATTTTTGTTACTATTCGTAAAAAAATTTAAAAATGCTAATGCGAGGGAAAGAGAGACATTCTGCTTGTACATTCAGAGAATATCTCCAGAGTGATACTCAAAGAACTTGATAACTTTGATTGCCTCTAAGGAGAAGAACTGAGGAACAGAAGTGAGAGGGACACTGCATTATGTACTTTCTTTTATCTTTTGAATTGTGCTACTTAAGAATGTATAACTAATTCACATAAATAAATTCATAAAAACTTTACATGCAAACCCAAGGATAAAGAAATAAAAGCATCTACAATTCTTGAATGAATTCTTAACTTTCTATAAATTATATAAGATAGGCCAAACTTTTACTTATACAGCAGTAGATGGACATTGAAATTTTCCTCCGAACAATTGAAAAAATTACAGTATTTTTCATTAATCAAAAAAGGTAGAGATATGAACAATATTAGCTTCAACACATTTTCCTTGTGCCCTTTGGTGGGATCTAATTTTAGCAAGAGCCATTTAACATATAATTACTAAATGTATATACAGAAAAGTAGAAAATTAGCTTTCATATCACAGTCTCAAAAATGGTTAATGTAATCTAATTTAGTTAGTTTTCTTATCAAGAAGAAAAACAACTCCATAAATAACCATCTCATTATAAGAATTCAAATGTTATTTTATGGAGGAATGAATAAATTAAATTTCTTATAGCAAATTGCTTATCATTATATAGTCTGGTATAGATAAACTACGTTGTGATAAATACAAAAATATCACTAACTACAATCATATATTTTTGATTCTCAAATGCAAAATGTGTTCTGGTTCCAAAATTCTAAAAAAAATATGGTTATATGAAAAATAATGATGAAAAATGAATTAGAGTTTAAAATGAATAAAGGCACATAAGGAACACCATGGAGATGTATTCAGAAGTAAGATCAAGGCATAATGAGTTCAGATATGACTGTAGTCAACTCTTCTACCTTAATGTCCATGCTCTCCTGAAATGTTAACAATAAATAGATCCCTAGCATTAATTTAATGAAATGTAAAATGTTTATTTACTCAAATAGTAACTTAGCTGAAGTCATACCCAGTGATGTTCCAATAAAAAATGTTACATAATCTTTTTGAAAATTCTTATTTAATACTATCAGCAGGAAATGCCTTTTAAATGTGTATAAGTTTATACTTATATTTAAATAAATAAAAATATATATACATACATACATATTTAATAATTTATACATGGACTCCATTGACCAAATAAAAGAGCACAGTAAAAGGAGAAAAAGTATTTTGACCAAATCTGAATATTGGTAGCTTGTACCATAATATATTCATCAAATAAAATTTAATATGTTACCATAATAATCTTTTGAAAACTTCTGAAATTTCTATGTACCTTGAAAACTGAAACATTTTACAATGCATAGCAAAAATGAAATACTAAAACATGTTTATGTAAAATATTTTTCCACTTAAGGTTGTAAAACTAAAGTAAATCATATGCTCAAATAAAAATTCTCCATTAATGTAAATAAAGATCCTTCTATTATAAGAAAGATGGTTTTATATTGACTATTAGACTAGGTAACAAAATATTTCAAGTGCTGATCATTTATTTTTCTTAGTAGTGGCTTCAGTTTCAAATCATCTCTTTTTACTGATTTATCCTGAGAAGTTGGTTTGCACATTGGAGTAAACCTCTTTGTGGCAGAAAGTTATTCCTAATAAATTTAAGTGAAAGTATTTCTATATAGACAGAGGTCAAATGTAAGAGACAGCAAAGGCAATTATTCTGGGAACCAGAGCAGGAAACCTTGGTAACCAGAAACCGCGTAAAGGTATTAGGTTTGTGCTGTTCCCGAGCCCTCAAATTTAACTAGTTTCACATCAACTGAATTAACTGACTATACATTCCACTTATTACAGGCTCTTAAGGCACAGCCCAATTGACTACTACTGTCAGGAATTCTGGCAATAGTAGAGGCTACTCCTACCCAGTTAGCTGCATCAGGCATGCTATGGGTGATAGGTTGAACACAGAAGAACAGTCAGGAAAACTGAATTTATATGGCACAGTCTGGCTCAACGTTTGGAAAGAAATGGCTTGCATCTCGACTAACAGGTTCTTAGAGACTGTGCTCATAGACATTCTTTCTATGGTTCTACAGTGAATGAAAAAGGTACATGAAAATAAGCAAATCTCCTTTAATGACATGGCACCTACCAAAAAATCTAGAGTTTCAGGAGTCTAAACAACTATAACACATAGCACAAATTTTCTAGCATTTGGCAAGAGGAGGATGGGAGGAAATCTTAAATAGGTGTCATAGCACTGAAACTTTGTTAACTTTACTATAGGAACAGATGTGAAACTGTACAGAATCACCACCTCACTGTGAATGAAGAAGATCTTCAGCACGATTGAGGGGGGATCTAAATCAAATATAAACTGTGGTAATAAATGTAAGGTACCAATTGCTAGCAGATGTATATTTAGATAATCTGTATCTATCATGTGTCACTATCACGTGCTTTGATGAGAACACCTTATGATTTTTCCATGCAAAAGTTCTCTCTTTATTTAACTTTTAAACTCCTTTTGCTAAAAAGGAAATTTTCTTGTAAAAATGAAAACAAAAAACCATCCTTAACAGAACCTTAAATATTAATGCCTTTTTAAAAGGGTGAATTAATATGTGCAACTGACACTTAGGAATTGATTTTTTAAAAATAGTTTTCCCACTATTCTCAGCTGTTATAAGTCAGTTATTTTGTGTTAATTTACCAATTAATATAATAAAAATTGCACCAAATTTGTGTAATGGATAACTGAAGGAGTCATGTCATTTTTCACACTCTATACAGAAAAACAAACAAAAAAATCAAGCTATAAAATTCATCCTGCTAATGTTTGTACCTATATATACATGACCTGGAATAATCAATTTAGTTAACTCAATGATAGCACTAGTAAATTTAGTAAACCCATATTTAGTTCATGAGGATGTTTAACAGATAGCTAAAATTCAGTGTGAAGGCAAGTATCAGTGCCTGGGGAAGGTGAAGCAGGAGAGGGGTGAGGATGGAGCGCTGGTAAGCCAGCATGAGAGAGGGTATATGAAACGAAAGTGGGAAAGGACTCTTCCTCCCCATTTTTTCCAGTTTTCCTAAGGCCTTGGTAAGTGGCAAGTACTTCCCTTTCCACTGAAAATCACTTTCTGGATGGCCTGTATCAGGAGCATTATACAGTACTGGTACCTAATCTACCCCTTTTCCTTTTATGGTAAAGATACAGTTATTTTACAACTAGAACATTTTACAATTTGTTGGTAAATATTATGATTTTAAAGCTGAGAGGATATTAGGACATCATTTAGTCTAACTAACCCCTTATTTTATTGACAGGGGAACTGAGGTCCAGAGAAGCTATGATTTAGTTTCTAATCTACATAAATATACTGCTGTGACTAAAAGGTTTAGAAATGCTGTATTTAGTGTTATCAAAAGCAAGAGAGAAATGGGCATTAGAAATGCTTCAAAAATACAAAGAAAAAATGACAAAAAAAGAACTCTCCAGTTAGAATGGTTAGTTATCTGTTCTGACGTTACCAGAAAATAGTGAATTAAAAATAAGGGCTTGAACAAATGGATTAGGGAAAAGATACTAAATGATGAAAGTATGAACACATGCAATCATTACAAACAGAAAAAAGTATATACAAAATACTTACCAAGTACCTATTATATCATGAAGAAAATCCACAAAATGAAAAATGTAAAGCCTCTCATACAATTATTTTCTACTCAATTTGTTTCTATTTCATTATAAGAACAAACTATATGGTAGGATTATGGAAAAGGGGTACATGCACTTAATTCAAATCCCCAGGCCCCTTTTATATGAAACATCTAGAAAATCAATTCCATTTCTACTTTAGCTAGGTGGTTCTAAATGATTGTTCTGCCTATGCTTAGTTGAGGTAAAAATGTAAAGGCCAGGTTACAGAGTTTGAGGATATCAAATTCTGCATAGGTTCTTATTACTATTTCTATTACAGCATTTTAGCACATTAAGATATCTTGTGTCAAAATGAATATATTTATTAAATATTAAAAATTTGAAAACTCAAATATGTGGTTGTGTTCCTAAGATATTATTTGCTCATACCTATGATCAGAGCCAATATAAATGCTTTTCATTGGAATCACCTAGATCAGTGCTTCCCAAAGTGTCCCTCTGGTAGAATGCAAAATGACTTTACATATGGCATATGGGTAAACATTTTTAATTTTACTATTTAAGTACGGATTTTAACATATATTAGAAAAAAATTACACACTAAAACTGCACAACACATTGTTGCCCCAGCCCAGTGTTTTGGATTTTTTCTCTCTAAAGAGAAAAATGTACGATAGAGGCTATCAAGGACCTAAATTAAACAAATAAAAACTCAAATACTTACTGTCGCTGGGGAAGCCCGAGTGGTATGTGTCACTGAGTGACCAGAATTCTCCATTGAATTGCCAATCAGATAGGTTCCTCCAGAGCTGCTGATGAGTTGTCCTCCCGTGACGCCCATCTGAATCCCACCAGTGCCCACCATACTGTGGGATGAGACCACGGTAGTCACCTGTGCAGAACTCCCTTGAGTATCAAAGTAATTCCCTCCAGTGTTTTGGCTGTACATCTGCGTTTCTGTGTAAGGATAAGTTGTTGTTCGGCTTTAGAAGAAGAAGAAAAAAGAAAGGAATTTATTTATATCACCTTATTTATTTTTTTCTAGTGTGAATATATGTTTAAAATATATCAGCTTAGCCTTTGGAACATGGTGAGTTTTTGTATTTTATATGAAACTTCATTCCCAGAAATAGTTGGGTTTACTTTCCAAACTAAAGGTACATTTCTTTTTTTTTTTTTTGCGGTACGCGGGCCTCTCACTGTTGTGGCCTCTCCTGTTGCAGAGAACAGGCTCCAGACGCGCAGGCTCAGTGGCCATGGCTCACGGACCCAGCCGCTCCACGGCATGTGGGATCTTCCCGGACCGGGGCACGAACCCGTGTCCCCTGCATCGGCAGGCGGACTCTCAACCACTGTGCCACCAGGGAAGCCCAGGTACATTTCTTTATAAGTACCTTAACACTTTTCTGTACTTTAGAGCTTTTGCTTGTATACTGGTGCCTACCTCCAGCATATAAATAAGCTCAGGTCTCTTCCCTCCAAGAAGTCCTGCTGCGTGACTTCTTAAATTTCTTATAAAACTTCCTGCAAATCCCAGTTTTAGGAAAGCTGGGATCCAGAATGACTGGGGGCTGCAAGTCAGCTCCTCACGCTACTTCACACTCCTGGGTGACTTGCAGTAAACCTCAGGTAGCTAGCATCGATCTTTTTCTCGCCACCATAAGGATCTTGATCAAAGATTTCACTTACCATGGGCCCTAGATCCCTAACTCTTTCTTTTTCTTTTTCTTTACACTCAAGGTTCTCCTTGATGTGATGACTATGCCACCTCATGTCCTCACTTTCCGCTTCCCAACAACTGCAGTCCAGCTTCTGCCCTTAGCCTTTCACTGAAAGTGCTTTTAATAAGGTCACCTGTGAGCACATCTAAATACCAAGCTAAAAGGCTGCTGTCAGTCCTCATCTTTCTTGACCTATCTGCAGTATAATATTGTTGACCACGCCATATTGCCCTTTCCCTCCTGGTTCTGTTCTGATTAAGCAGCTTGTTTGACCGATTTATTTTTAATATTCAATTGACTATAACTTACATTTTAACATAACTTTTATTTTTACTTGCAAGTAGTATAAGTTCACAAGAAGTTGCAAAAATAGTAAAGAGGTATAAAATACTTTATTTAAAAACTTAAATATCAAATTAAAATTCCCAGTTTTTTGGTAATTCTCTTCAACACCACATTCCAGAGCTAGGCAGTACTGACAATTCGGTGTAGATATTTGCAGACATTTTCTATGTGCAAGGTCTTTCTGTTTTAACCTCTCTTGTTCATTAGTTTCTATGACATTTTTTTTTACCTTTTACTTTTTTTAACCACTATGTTTCGAGAGCTTTTGGAGGCTCCATTTTTCTGACACATTAAATACTGGTAATTTCTGAGGTCTCCATTTTCAGCTCTTATTTTTTTCTCACATTTATTCGAGCCATATACCTTTATCATATACTACTTGACCATATACATGCTCATAAGTTGATAGCTCCATTTTCTAGTTATACTTTAAGAGTTTTAAATCTAGGTTTCTTTAACAGCCACCTGGTTATCTCTGTTAGGGAACCCCATGATATATGGGAAGTCTCAAATGTAAAATTGAACATATGCCTAAAAGGGAATTCTTTCTCTCTTGCTCTTTTTCCTATATTCCCCCTCTCAGCAGAGGGCAGCACCACAACCCTCAGCTTTGGAAATTATTGCTGACTTTCTATGCTCAGATTGACATCAGTCACTAAATCCTACTAATTTTACCTTCTAAATAATTCTCCAATTCTCCTTTCCATTCTTGTACTCACTTGCCTTAACTCATAATGTTCTCCATTATAACTGCCTTCTAATTAGTTTTCCTTCCTCTATTCGGGCTCTCTTCCAATCTATCTTCACTTTGCTGCCAGGAGAATTTTTCTAAAATGCAAATATGAAAATAAAGCTTTTCATAAAAACCTTTCCATGATTCTCTCTTGCCTTCGGAAGTAATTCACAACCCTTGACCTGCCTTATAAGAACCATCAGAGCTGATGCCTGCATGATCTCTGGACTTGATACCAGTCATGTCTTCAAGTGCTTTCTTCGCCTACACCACACTGACCTTTTTGCTGGTCCCTGTAACGTGTCATCTTCTCTTGCCTCCCTGCTATATCTCATGTTTTCCTCTGTCTAGAAGGCCTTTACATTTTTCTTCAGCTCTCTTCTTTTGTCTAAATCACCCTTAAACTCTCAGTTCAAGCATCACCTTATCTCAGAATTACTCTTCCGGACCCTTTGCCCTCTGTGGCCACTCCTCACAGGCCTGTTATGTTTTGTTCTCTGTACTTTCCTAACACCTTGTGCATACCTGAAATACAGCTCTCCATATACTGTTACTTTCCTCATATATTCATACTCCCAAGAAATTATGTTTTATTCCCATATGTACCCTCAACACTTAACACAGTTGCAGCTACACAGTGGGCACACTAACCAACAAAAAGAATATGATTCTGTTTGAAAGTACATTTGACATAATGGTGACTTCCGTAAATTTCTAAAACATAAATCCTTCTTTTGTTTTGTTAAACCAAACAAATTGGTTAGCACAATTGAGAAATTGTGCTAAACTATTCCAAGATTTTTCTGTATTATTTAAAACAGGTCATTTTAACCCATTACAAATTAATTTGTAATGTAATTGCTAATGTAAATTTTAGTAAAATAATTAGAGTGCTCCAAAACTATTCCACACTGAGTAAAGTTACTGCTTTCCAGGAAGAGCCACCACAGATCGATGTACAAATTTTAGTTTGGGGTGGTGACAGAAGCAACTCCATAGAGAACGTTTTTTTTATAGATAGAAAAATGCCATTTAAAATACACATTTCTTCTCATTATTGTTGTATTTCCCAGCTGGATACCTCATTTATGTATTTCTTTCATTATATATTTATTTAATAAAATAAAACAGCCATGTTGATTTCAAATTTAGGTGAAAAGAAAAGTGAGGTCATTTTAATTTATGTCAGCTAAATATGATAATGATCCTATTTAGCTGTTTTTAAAATAACACAATCTGATGTTAGTATTTAAGTATAACCAAGTAAGGTGTACACATAGATATAGGGCAATAAATAAGTACTTTGACAGGTGCAGGAAATGGTGCCAGCTTTCCTTTCCATAGTCCAAACAAAATGCTTAAGCATGCTCCACAGTAGTAAGTTGATTTTATAAATAAATCATGTAATAATGGCTATTAATAGCTAATAGTTACTGACCATTTACTACATAACAGGCACCATTTTATGTACTTTTCAGGTATTAACTCATTTAATCTTCATTACAACTTTCTGAGATGGGTACTGTTATAATTTCTATTTCCACAGACAAGGTGAATACTTGAAGTTTGGATAGGTTAAATAGCTTTATCCAAATCACACAGCTGGTAAAAAATGGATTTGGAATCTGCACTTAGCCCATGCTCTCAACCATTCTGTCACATAAAAAGAACTTAACTTTTTACGTATGTCAATGATATGTGTGAATGACTACTGAGGAACAGTCCCAAAAGCTGGTATAGGGAACATATGGACTTTCTGTTGCTATTTGGGAGTTCCTTACACCTTAGTTAACTGTTTACTAACACCCCACTACTCTCCTCTCTTACTCAGAATGGAATCTGCAGAAGATGTACTTGCAATGGTAAAGAAATAGAGATGGAAAAGGCGAGACTATTTTGGAGGATACTTACCATTGCACACTTAGATTTCAGAAGTTCTATGATCATGGAAGTTGCAACTCTATTATAAGAGAAACATTCCACGGGGTTTAAATCACTCCATCTTTGGGGTATGACTCCTTTATATAATTAGTCCTCAGTGAACAATAGTAATGTAAACAAATGCATCACAGATATATAAAATCTGTATCTATAGCCCTCAAGTCAGCATAAAAATATGGCAGCAAAGAGCTTTCATTTTCATACTTCCCCCTAGTTGGAGATGATTCATTAGCTAAAAAGAGCAAAGAACAGGATAAGAGTGAAAGTCACTAAAGAGTATGCCTAATCCATAAATTATGCTCATTACTCAATCATAACCCATGGGACTGAGGAGAAGGCTTGAATAAACACACACTGGGGTAAAGACTGGTAATTTCTAGGGGAAAAAAGACACAATTATATTAGGAAATGAAGTGTCACAAATTGTTGCTGAATTTGTCTCTGACACTTATACACTTGCAGTGGGGAAGAGAGGAGACTTTTAAACACTGGATTGGGTAATAGAGGCAGACCATAATATCCTTAGTCACTGTCCTTCAAGGGTAAGAAGATAAGTATTAACGCATTTGTTGGAGGCCTATCTGGAGCCAGAGCCAGAGTCAGGCACAGATAATTCCTAAACGTCTTTTCAGTTCTAAATGTTCTAAGCTCCTGAGTAAATACTGGAGAAATTTTGTTTAAAAAAAAAAGGCACCACCAACAAAAACAAACACTTCTTTCTTTCTAGGTACTAGAAATAATAACTCTTTAATTCTGATACCTAGGATCAACTTGTCTTTCATACTGCTAGAATGAATACATATGAGATATTGCTTGCACACCATTTCCCCAGAAATTTCCAAGACATACGTTTGAGAAAAGTACTCAATTTTTGGCATATCAGATTGAAAGCAGCTAACTATTTCCGCACTGTACACTACTGAAACAGCTAAATTCCCAAGCAATTCTGTGCACACTTGAAAGATGCTGCTGTGTTCCTTTTGTTTGTTCTTTACTGATTGCCTCAGACCGTTATGAAAATAATGTGTCACATTATTCTATAGCAGAAGAGAAATCTTTCCATTATTCTGCATATGTATCCAGTAATGAATGTAAACACATAGATAGATATGTGCATACTTGCTGACAGACGCTTCTTCATAGCTGACTCTATTATCAGGTTCTATGTAAATGTCAGGACTCTGATCCATTGAATTCAGTAAATTAGTGCTGTGTGCATCCTATCATGCCTTAGCACATACCT